CATGGTGACAGTGGGAGTGGAGCCCAGCCACCATACTCAGGGACTTGGTGGGGAGAGGAGACTGAGCATCTCTTGTCACGGGTGCCTCGGCCTCTGCCGTCAGGAGGCCCACACCGAGGGGAGTGGCAGTGCATGGACACCCCAGGGTGTTCTGTAGCTGGCAGGGAGGGACCTGGGCCCTGAGGGCTGGGAAACCCCGTGGGAGGCAGTCCTCTGCAGAGGGAGTAGGTGAGGAGGGGTGGAAAGTCAAGACAGCCCTCTTCAGGGAGGCAGGGTTAGAGGTGAGCACCCTGGGGCTGGATCATCCTTCCCCTGCCCATGCCCTGGCTGCTGGCCTCAGGGCTGCGCTCAGCACGGCAGGGAGGCTCGGTGGGTGGGAACGTGGACTGCACAGCGTCTGCCTGGCGTGGACTCGGGCTTGTGTGTGAGCTCCCTGGGCCTCGTTGCTCCATCTGTAAAATAGAGGTGATAAGGGCACCACTTGCGTGGGCTGCTGCAGAGACGTGACAAGTAAATCCATATAAAGCGCTTAGGACGGGCCTTGTGCAGTCAGGCGCTGTTACTGGCCTCAGGAGCATTACCCATGTCACTGTTGCGTGGACCACAGTGTCAGTTGCCTGCAGGGTCTGGCAGGCGGAGGGGCCAGGTGGATCCCGTTGAACTGGCAGCACGGGTCCCATCCAGCGGGGCTGTCCACCTGTGCCCAGTCTTTCAGTTTCTCAAGGGAGGTTGAGCGTGTCTACTTTTAAAGGACAGCTCTGGTTTTCTCAGTATTGACAACAAATTTACATTTTGTAAAAACTCAAGAGAGCCCAGGCCAAGTCATTGTGTGGCCCGGAATTGGCTTCCAGGTCATTCCCTGCAGCCTGGCCCAGGACGATGACAGAACAGCTTAGAGGGGAGGTGGGGCCTGGTCACATCTCGAATGCCAGCCTGAATGCCTTGCTGGAGGGTCTCACCACTGTCCTGAGCAGGGGGAGGATGGGGGCCTGTGTGTCCCCAGACTGGAACTTGTGGGTCTGTGCTGGGACTAGTGGGGGCGAGTGGGTGGCCCCCATGGGCATCGAGACCCTGAACCTGGAACTCCTTCGTGCCCTGGGCCGAGCGTGGCACTTAAAGGGGGAGCCGGCCAGCCCAGTCCTGCCCTCCCAGAGGTTCCCTCCTGGGAAGTCAGCGAGTGGTGTCCAGCGAGGGAGGGCAAGGTGGGTCCGGCGCAGCTGATGAGGGCGTGACTCTCAGGCTGACTGTCCCTAGAGTGCTGCGGTCCACGTCTGGAGACTGAGGGAGGTGGGGGAGCAGCTCCAGGGCCTCCCCAAGGGAAGGTACCGGGAGAGGTTGAGAGAGTCATGCCAGATGCACGCGACTTCGCAGAGGACTGTAGATGTGGAGCCAGGGCATGGGTGCAGTCGGGGTCCCTGGAGTCTCACAGTCCTCCTGCCCTGCTGCACCCCCAGGAGCCGCTCCCGCTCAGGGGACCGCTACAGGCGGGGCGGCCGGGGCCCCAGGCACCACAGCAGTAGCCGCAGCCGCAGCAGCTGGTCGCTCAGCCCGTCCCGCAGCCGCAGCCTGACTCGCAGCCGCAGCCGCAGCCCCAGCCGGAGCCACAGCCAGAGCCGCAGCCGCAGCCGCAGCCGCAGCCAGAGCCACTCGCCATCACCCCCAAGGGAGAAGCTGACCAGGCCAGCGGCGTCCCCTGCTGTGGGAGAGAAGCTGAAAAAGTGAGCAGGGCAGGTCCGGGGCAGAGGGGCGTCATCCTCGGGTGGGGAGAGTGAACTCTGTCTGCTGTGTTCTTTTGAAAGGAACTTGGTCCTACCCCGGGAGGTCTGAGGGGCACATGGCCCTGTCCTAGGGGATCTGCAGGGTCATGAACCTGTCCTGTGGGGTCATGAACCTGTCCTGAGGGGTCTGAGAGGGACGCCTGGGTGGGGGTGTGGCTGTCTGGTGTGAAGGCAGTACCGAGGCTGTGGGGTCAGTGGCAGCTGCCCGTTCCTCCTCCCAACCACGTCCTCTGGCCCCACCTAGGACCGAACCTGCCGCTGGTAAAGAGACAGGAGCTGCCAAAGTCAGTAAGAATTTGGAACTCGCCCGTCTAATTCCCGCCAGCAGCAGTGCCCGAGAACTGGGCCCGGTGGGCCTGCAGGGGGGCCCGGGTGGGCTGGGAGATCTAGCCCCAGGGAGTGGGGGGGAGAGGAGGGGTCTGCTCCCATGAGAACCCTGTCCCCCTCCCCTCAATGTACATCGGGGCTCTGGCTGTCCCTGAGCCTCCCAGAGCCTCACAGCGGGTGTTCACAGCCTGCCTCTCCTCCCCTCATTTGCCCCCGCAAGTCCCAGGCTCTTGGCTGAGGTGGGTTGTGGGAGCTCCGGGACACCCACCCCCTCTCCCGCCTCTTCTCCCCCTTCCCCAGCCCAAGCTGACGCCGCAGGAGAAGCTGAAGCTGAGGATGCAGAAGGCGCTGAACAGGCAGTGTATGTGCCACTGTCTGTCCCTCCAGGTCCTCCCTGCTTGTCTTCCTCTTGCCAGTGGAAGCAAGTAGAAGACCCAGCCAGCGCTGGCCTTGGGGCAGCCTTGCCCAAGAGGCACCGTGGGGAGGAGTGGGTTCGCACCCGCCCTGGTGCTGCCATGCTAAGGGTCCCGGCAGTGTAGTTGAGCTCAGCTTCCTCATTTCAGGAAGTGGGGCTCTTAAGGGCACCCCTCAGCCACATATTCCTTCCTTCCTACAGTCAAGGCGGATAAAAAGGCAGCTCAGGAGAAGATGATACAGCAGGAGCATGAGCGGCAGGTCAGGGTGGGAAGTGAGGGGGCGGGTGCAGGTGGGGTGCCGGGCCGGCCACACCCTCATAGCTGTCTCTGCTGCAGGAGCGGGAGGACGAGCTTCGAGCCATGGCCCGCAAGATCCGGATGAAGTAAGACCGTCCCCCCTCCCTGTACCGTGGCCACACCCCCTGCTGCGGCTGGGCCCTTTGTGGGTGGATGAAAGTCAGAGCCCTGCCTGGCCCTCAGGGCTGTGCCCAGCCACCTCCCTGGCTCCTCTCCCTCAGTTTCCTCCCTCCATCCCAGCTTAGCTCCTGCCACCAAGACCTCCCAGTCCTCCAGCCTTCAAGCTCAGGCTGTCTTTGCTGTCCTCTTGGCATGGCAAGCTCTTCCCAAGACCCAGCACCCACCCACCACCCACCTACCACCATGGGTCTTTCTCCTGCCTGAGCCTCAGTTTGCTCATCTACTAAATGGAGATGGAATCATTGTCGGGGCTCACAGGCTTGTTGGGAGGGTTCAGCAAGATCAAGGCCAGGTGTGGAGAAGGCACCCGGCGTGTGTAGGTGTCGGGGCTGCTAATCCTGGTCATTCTGATAGAGGCCAGTCAAGCGTTCAGCCAGTGCAGGTCCCCAGCTGTGGCAGGAAATGATGGAGCTGTCAGGCCTCCCCTTGTTGAGCGAGGCCGTCCTAGTCAGGCAGGCTGGGATTCCAGTCCTGACTCTGCCAGCCAGTGTCTCTGAACCTCAGGGTCTCCATTTTCAAGTGGGGACAGTAGCAGTACCTGCCTCCTTGGTTTACTGCTTCCCTTGGCCTACCTGGGTTCAGTGTTCCCAGCTGGATGCCTGCCCCATCCCCTCGCAGGGAGCGGGAGCGACGAGAGAAGGAGCGGGAAGAATGGGAGCGCCAGTACAGCCGGCAGAGCCGCTCGCCCTCCCCGCGCTACAGTAAGTGTCCACGTGTCCCGCTAGGCTAGGCTGGCGGTTCTGGGGCATTGAAAAGAACACCGTCCAGCAGGGTTGCAAACAACCATGGCACATTTTCCACATTGGCCTTCCATAAATTAAAGCTTTTGACACACACACTACGATTGCGTTAGTCACAGGGTCATCGCAGGGATTAGAAATGCTTATTCCCAGCACATCGGTGTGGGCTGGTGAGGGGCACAGGTTGCAGCCAGTGTCGCCTCAGTTGGACACCACACTCCAGGTCAGGGAGGAGCCCCTGGCCCCTGGACATCGGCTTTGTCTCCATCTGGTCTTTTCTTTCCAGGTCGAGAATACAGCTCTTCTCGAAGGTAAGGAAGTCCGCCCAGCTCCCTAGGGTGACCCTCCACTTCCTGGGAAATTACTCTTGTCCTTCAGTGGGAAATCCTGGCGCTGAGTCCTCCCTTCCCACCCCGCACTCCTCCAGCTGCAGGGGCTGGTCTGCTGTGTAGGGAAGCATCCCTCCCTCCCTCCGTCTGCAGCAGAGTCCCCTGGTCCCTGAAGCCTCGCAGCCCCCGGCGTGTTGGTGCGTGTGTGCACGCAAGGCCTCCCACTCCCCACCCCACCCTCATGGGGCCCCTCCTTTTCTCTTTCCAGGCGCTCAAGGTCCCGATCCCGAAGCCCCCATTACCGACATTAGGCAGAAGAGCGGGGGGCAGGGGGACAACGGGGTGGGGAGCGGGGCTGAAGCTGCGATGCTGCTGGTTTTCTCTCTAATGAAATAAAATCAGACGTTATTTAATTCCCTTCACCGGGCCGCAGTGTTGTCTGTGTGGTTGGTGCAGGGCTCTCCAGCCCCGGGGCCACCAGCCAGCAAGGCCAGCTGGGGAGGGCACCGGCTGGGTTGACAGGCCAGGGCCAGTGCTGCCTGCGTGGGAAGTCCTGATGGCAGCTCAGGGTTAATCAGCCCGGCCGTGGCTCAGGGAGGCCTGCTTAGGAGGCAGACAGTCCAGTGGGAGCAGGGCCCAGATCTGCCCACAGGTGTGGGCCCAGCAAGTCCCACATGGGCCCCTTTGCCCAGGGGCCTCTGGCGACAGGTCCAGGCCTCTCCCCGCCCTCGCCTCGGCCCCTGCCCTGGCCTCACCCACACCAGGAACCGGGAGCGCGGCTTTCTGTGCCAGTCCTGCTGCGCCCCAGGCACTGGGGGCTGGCCTTTCCCCTCACCCCCTCACCCCAAACCGGTCTGTCCAGCCGTCCACCCCAAGGAGGGGAAGCCTCCCTCCCCACCTCAGACTCCCCAAGAAAGCCAGAGCCCAAATGTGTAAATAACAAGGACAATTTACTTGCAGAAGGTGGGTTGTCAACAGTCATGTACCAGGGACAGCAGGGAGGGCATGCCTGTGCTCAGGCCTCCCCGATGGCCTCTGGGTGCTTCTGCCGCAGGTGTTTGTCCAGGGTGGCACGAAGGCCGAAGGGCACACAGCAGTGGGGGCACTCAAAGCGGGTGCTGCCCGGCCCCAGGCCGTGCATGCGGCGGTGGCGGTTGAGCTTGCTGCTCTGGGCGCAGGCGTAGGAGCAGAGCTCGCAGGCGTAGGGCCGTTCCCCGGTGTGCGAGCGCCGGTGCACGGTCAGGTTGCTGCTGTTGGTGAAATGCTTCCCGCAGAACTCGCAGCGGCCTCCGGCCCCACGGCTCTTGCCCACTGACTTGGGCATCTTCTTGGGTGATGTCTTCTGACTGTTTGCTCGGTCAATTCTCTGTTCCTCCTTGGTGACAGCTCTCCAACCATCCCCACCAGGGCCCGCTTGAGCCCCACTGCCGGGAGCCCCAGGTTCCTGGACACCGGCTGTGGCGGCGGCTCCAGCCCCCTCACCAGCGCTGCATGGGACGGTGCTGGCTGGGGCAGCAGCATGGGCAGCTGGCTCCGGAGGGGCTGCGGAGGCCTGCTCCTGGCTGGTGTCAGCCATGCAGGGGCTCTGGGGCAGCAGCTGTCGGTGGGTCTTCTTGTGGCGGTTGAGTTTGCTGCTCTGGGCGCAGGCATAGGGACACTGGTCGCAGGCATAAGGCCGCTCGCCCGTGTGCGAGCGCATGTGCACCTTGAGGTTGCTGAAGGAGCTGAGGGTCTTCTTGCATACAAGGCAGGTGGGGCTCCGCCGGCTGAGGCTGTTCACCTGGGGGCTCTTGACCTCAGCTGCTGGCCCCACCACCGCCGACACAGCTGCGGCCACTTCAGCCAGGCCCAGCAATGGGGCCTCCGGGGCCTCCGATTCCGTCTGGTAGATGGACAGTCCGTGGTCCCACTGGGCATGGCGCAGCAGTTTCCAGGCCCTTGTGAACTGTCTGCCACAGCGGAGGCAGTTCAAAGCCTTCAGGTCCTCGTGTTCTGGAGAGAAGAGAAGGGGGCAGGATGTTAGTGCTGATGGCTAGAAGAGGAGCCGCAGTTCACTGCCACCAGTTGGCCACTTTCTGTGGGAAAGGCTCTGTTCCAGGGGCAGAGGACTCAGCAGTTAACAACAGAAAAACGCCCTGGAAGGCCCAGGAAGCTGATGTTGGGAGGAGGGCCGGGCAAAGAAAATCTGCAGATACACGAGGATTTGCGTTTGAAAATCTTCCATCACAAATTCAGTGAGTGCTTTCTATGCGATGCGTGCTGTGCCACGGCTCACTCAATTTTCCTTCAGGACAGGAAACAATACCTCCAGATGGGAAACTGAGGCACAGAGAAGCACTTCCCTAAGATCACACGGCTTGGAAGGGGTGGAACTGGGATTTCAATCCAGATATCTGGGGTAGGGTGGGGGGTGGTGACCGGGTGCTGAAAAAAGATTTTTGGTTTAATAATAACAATAAAAATAGCTGCAGAGAAGACTTAAGAGCCACCCGGTGAGGAGGTGAGGTAGTGACCTAGGTCCCCTACTCTGTGCATGGATCCCAAATTGACAGCCCCCCAATTTGATTTTGTTTTCTCTAGACCCTCGAGCTTCTTTCAGTGGACACTTCCCAGATCCACCTGCCTTGAGATTTTTTAAATCCTAGAAAGTTCTGTGACCTTGGGCGACCGATGCCCCTCACTGAGCCTCAGTTTTCTCAGCTGTTAGAATATGGGGATCCTAGGGGTCTCCTCCCTTTCAGGGGTGTTGTGACCTCGAATAAGGAATAGCTGAGGGGTTTGGGCCATATAAGCTCTCAATAAACATTAGCTGAGCTTGGGTGCCAAGGTGTCCACAGTTCTCCAAGTCTTGCCCTGTCTTTTTCCAGTGACTCCATGACAGGCCACCCTCCCTGCTGCAGCTTTAAAGCTGACTGAATCACAGCCCCTCCTGTCTCCCACCACTGGACAGACCCTCCCTGACCCAGCCCTGAATAATCCCATTTCTCAAAAAGCCCCCAGGAGGCCATGGGCCGGAGGCTGGAAGTTCATAGGGTTAGAGAAGCCCCATAGCCCATGCTGACCCAAAGCTCGCTGTGGGTCAAGCACCATGTGAAGGGTTTTAATTCCCTGCCAAGAGAAGGAACCCAGATGTCCAGCATCCGGGACCCGACTCCAACCCGGGGCTTCCCAGCACCTAGTGCTGGGAGATTCCATCAAGGAGGGAAGCCCTAAGCCCCCTGCCTGCCTCTGAACAACAGTTCCGGCACCTCAGTCACAAGTGATAAAGAGATAGGAGGGGGTGGCAACGGTGCTTCCAGCTGGCCTCCACCCCTCCTCCCCCAGGCCACTGCCCTCCCCAGAGGTCCCTGTACTGCCACCGGGGTCCAGCCACCTGGCCAGTTTATTTCTGGCCAAGGGGAAGGAGAAGTGAAACCAAATTGGGGGTGTGTGTGGCAAATCCCCAGGCCAGTCTTCTGGGGCTGGCCACACCCTGTGGGCGGCCCTCCTTCCCTGCCCAGCCTCCCACCCCCCACTAGTCCCAGCCCTAGGTTGGGCAGGCCCTGGCCACGCCTAGGGTGGCCTAGGCTGCACCCGGTGGTGAGGAGAAAGGGGAAGTAATGCTCAGTGCCCTGCCGTCCAGCTCAGCCTCTCTCCTGCAGGAAGTCCAGCCCTTGAACTTGAGACGGGAGCTGCGCCCCGCTTCACTCACCTGAGCCCTGGCAGGGGCTGGGGCCTCCTAAGAGCTGACAGCCCAGCTTCTTGTGGTCCATGAAGGCAGTGATGGCCTCCAACGGGAAAGTCTGCAGGCAGCGGCCGCAGGTCAACAGATCTGGGTGTTTGTCTGCCCAAGGCTGGCGGTCTGCAGGGAGGAAGCGGGTGGTGAGCGTGGGGTGGGGCCAGGATGGGGGCTGGGGGTTCCGAGGGAGAGGGGAAACCCGAAGGTCAGAAGGGGGGCTGGGGGGAAGGGCCGGGCGAAGGAGATAAGGCAGGGCCAGGGATCCGTGCCCAGAGGAGGGGGTCCCACCCGAGGGTCCAAGGGAAGGGTGGCTGGGCCCAGAGCCCGGAGCAGGGGCGCGGAGCGCTCACCGGGAGGGTTCGGGGTCAGTGGCGTCCACAAGGCCCACGAGTTCCGCGCGCCGAGAGCGTGGAGGGCGGCCCCAGCGGGCATGGGGCCAGGAGAGCTGCGGGGCTCGCCCCCGAACGGCCCCGACGCGGGCACCTCCTTCGGGGAAAAGGGCCTCGGCCATGGGGCCTGTAGGGGCCGAGGGTCTGGCTCAGGCTTCACGTCGATGACGAGGTCCGGCATCTCCATCTCGTCGTCTCGGCTGGCGGCGGGCTCGGGGTCTACTCGGCGGGGCGTGCTGCCGGCCTTGCGGCGGGACATGAGTCGCAGGCCGGGCGAGCGGGCAGGCTGGCGAGCGGGCGGGCGGAGGACGGCGCGAGCGGAGGACGCGCGGACCGTGCGCGCTCAGACCGAGGCGCTCAGGTGAGTGACTGCGGCGACCCGCCGGGAACTCTTACACGTGCTGGCCGGGCCCGTAGCTCCGCCCACCGGGGCGGGGCCTGTTAGGAGGGGACGGGACGGCCCCGCAGGGGCTCTGCCGCCAGCCAAGCTTGATCTGGGCGGTGTCCTCTGCGTTTGGCTTTAGTGACCAAACTTAATCACACCAAGTTCGGTGCAACTGAGGCACAGGATGCCCACGCACATGCCCCAAGCGGGAAAATGCTAGCCCACGTTTCTTAATAGGTGCCCAAGAGTAATCTGGACTATTCCATTAAATGCATTGCAATAAAAATTCATTCTGCAAACATTTATTGAGCGCTTCCTGTGTACCGGGCTCTGTTCTAAGCACCGAGGATACACAAGTACACAAAACAAACAATAACCCCTGCCTTCACGGAATTTATACTGTGGGGGAGACACTGTAAACAAGATAACTGGGTAAAACGTAGAGTGCCGTTCAGGATGACAAGCACCACGGAGCAAACTAAAGCTAGGAGGGAAGACAGGGTTACCGGGGTGGGAGGGGGAGCTTCAGTTTTCTCCCCATTCCCGGAAAGGGCACAGTGGAACTGAGACCTGAGGTTCAGTGAGGGAGCCAGCCAGTGGACCTGTGCATTCAGGAGGAACAAGGAAGGGGAGGAAATGAGGGTGGGAGATTGAGTGCAATGAGGAAAAAAAAAGGACACATCACATCCGGAAGGGTCTTTTGACTATTTGAAGGTTTTTTGGTTTTCCTGAGACAGGAGACTTGGAAGGGTTTTGAGCAGAGGAGGGTTGTTATCACATACATCTACCCTGTTTCCAGACCTGGAGTCGTCATTAAAACCAAATAGCCAAGCCCCTCACCTGCCTCCACTCTGGCCCCCTTGAACTTCCCTGCCCTAACCAATTCTCTCTGCTCTGTTTGAAGTGGCATTGACACCCGGCCCCACCCTCAATCTTTTACAAGTGTTCTTTTCTTCCTGGCCCTGACCACATGATAGCATAGAACTGTTTGTTGACTGTCCTCACCGCCCCCCCCCCCAACACACACACACAATGCAAGCCCCCTGAGGTCAGGGCCAGAGTCTGTCCTCCCCAGGTGTCCCCAGCCCAGATGCTGATTTCAGATGCTGATCGCTTGGAGTTCTACATATTGTTATTCAGGTCTCAGCACAATTGTCCTCCTGACAGCAGAGGGCCCTGACCAACGACTATCTAAAGTAGCCCCACCCTGCTGAAGGCCTTGCAAATTACGCTAGATGACCTCTATCTGTCCCCAGTTCCCTCTTGGGCCTCAGTTTCCCCATCTGTCAAAAGAGTTAGGGGAGATTGGAACTAAAGGGTTATCCGAGGTGGCTTCTTCTTAAATACCACCTCCTGTGATCACCTAATTTTAAGCTTCCCCAAGACTGCCACTCGCTATCACGTTGCCCTTATTTAATTCTTTTTACATCATTTTTATCAAGTCCTGAAAGATGTTGTTCATATATTTGCTCATTTACACCCTATCCTGTCCCTCCCACCCCCACTTGAATGTAGGTTCTGAGAGGCAAGATAGGAGTCTGTCTTCTTTACAAATAAAGTCCCTACTCATTCATAGTTAAGTCAACAAATATTTTTGAGCTCCTACTATGTGCCTGACATTCTTTCAACAGATATTGGCACAGCAGCTAACGGTGTGCTGGGCACTAGGCCTTGGGAGTCTAGTGGAAAGCAGAGGCACACAGGGTCCTTGCCTAAGTGGAACCCGGTGTGGAGTTCTGGTGACTGGGCCCAGAGCAGCAAGGTTCACATTCCCCACTCAGGGCCTCAGTTTCCCCTTTTGTAAAATGGGGCAGCAGGATGAAATGATGGCCTTCAATCCAGCACAGCCACTGCACTCTAAGCCCTTTCCTTGGTGTGCTGCTGCTGAAAGCATGATCTCAAGGTTTCATGTGGAGGAGATGGGGTTCCGACTGGAGGTACAGGGTAAGAGTGTGTATGCATGGGAGGGGGTGGGGGTGAAAAGGCCAAGCTCTGCTCTTAACCCAGCTGGGAGGAAGTCTTCCCCTCTCTGAGCCTCAGTTTCTTCCTCCCTAAAATGGGTATCCCAGACGCCCGCAACTCCCAGGCTGGCTGATCGGACCAAAGTGTCCAGCAAAGCCGCCAGCGGGGTGGCGCCCCGGGCTGCGCTCGCTCTGAGCCTGCGGGCCGACCCGCGACCACGTGGGGCAGTGGCGGCGACGTGGGCGGAACCCAGGTTCCGCGGCTCACGGCCCGCCCGAGCCTCTGCAGCGGGGGCGCAGGCGGAAGTGGGGGCGCCAGCAGCCGCGGAGCTTGGTGAGTACGGGGTGCTGGTGGGGGCATCGTAAGCCGGTTCCCTGTCTGCTCCCCGGCCCGGGACGTCTACCCCCGTGCATGTCCCGGAGTGGCGGGAGGAGGCTGGACAGCGCCGGCAACGCGGGCAGCGGGGACGTTTTGGCCCCAAACGCCTGTATCGGGGACTCTGGTCCCGAACACCGGCAGCGGGAAGGTCCCAGCGGATGGGGTGGGGAGCAGGGGGAAGGCGGATGCTCCCCCGCTGCCCCGGGAAAATAGAATGACCACGAGAATAACAGTAGGAACGGTGGCAATCCTCAGACTCCCGCCTTGCCTGGGGTGGAATCGCTCGCGCAATGTGACCGTGGAGGCGGGAAGAGATGTCCAGCCCCAACGCCCAGGGCGGAGCCGGGAGTGGACGCCTGGGGGCCGGGAGGACCCACTTAGTATAAGAAAAGGAGAGCGATGGGTGGCCAGGGCGGAACTGAAAGAAAACTGACCTGCCCTAGGGGCGGAGGGGAGGGGAAAGATTCTGTGCTTGGAGTTCTGACCCTTTGCGGTGGCCCCATTTAAAAAATTTGCATCAAGATGGGGCAGCCCACGAGGTGTGTGTGTGGACACGTCAGCACCTGGGTTAATTAGGTCTGGGGGCCTCGCTATTAACCAGATAACTCAGCTGGTTCCCTACCCTGGCTACTGTTTGTCCGCTGAGATGATCCATTCTCATTTTCTTGTGGGTTCCGAGGCTCCAAGGAGAAAGGTCTATAAACCTACCATTGACCCACGTGGTGGGCTCTTGAGTCTACAGACAAGTTTTTCAAGTAGTAGGGGATGGATTTGAACATTTTTTTCCCTGAAACCTTCATAGTAAATCCGTGGCTTGGAGATTTAGGATAAAGGTCTCTGGGGCCAGGTCACCAGGGAGAATGGATAATGCCTGCCTTTCCGTTCTTGGGCACACCCTGTGTGACCTTTCTCAAAGTAATTTCTGATCAGGTCACACCTTGGCTCCAAAATCTTCGTGGTCTCTCTTGTGCTGGTGGAAAAAGTCTGCCCTCATGGCAGGAGTGAGGGCCTCTGCTCCTGGTCAGGCCACCTGAGTCTGTCCCCTCTTACGACTCTCTCCAGCTTGCACCCAGCAAATGATCTGGCATCTTTCAGCTTCACTTTCTACTTTTGCAAAATGGGCATTGCATCGATGGGACCATACCTCCCTTGTTTTTTTCCTGATGGAGAAAACCCATCCCTGTACTGGCCTTCATTTTTGTTTTATTACAATTTAACATAATTCTTTGGCCACTTGTTTAATTCCCATTCTTCATTAAGTGCTAACCCTGGAGACTAGGGTGTTTCTCTTAAAAATCTCAGGTGTTGGCCGGGCGCGGTGGCTCA